CTCGACATCGGAACCATGTGTTAAATTGTGTTTTATTTAAAATGCAATGTCAGGGTACAAGTTGCAATAAAATTTTGATCTCTTTTGGAAATTCGTTAGCTGTTTGGAAATTTTGGTTTAAATTTTCATGCTAGTAAACCCCACTAATTAAGGTCAGATAGAAATTGTGAAATGCAATGACCAGGCTGTGCAGTCGGAGTGTATTCTGAAGACCTTTTTTCCACTGTTCGGTTTCATTGTTTGTGTTTTTCGTTTGGGGAGGGGGATTTGAACTCATATGCTATTTACTAGTAATGACATCATGATTCACATGTGTATACCCTTCAACCACATGGGTTCGGACGATGCAATAAAAAATTAATTTGCGAAAAGACAACGTGATGCTAATGCGACTCTGCCAAAGAGCATAATTCACTCTTCCAAAACAACAATTGTGACAGACAAAATTTTTCCCCATCGAGGCCATGATCTCTGACAACTCACTCTCCTTCTCTTTCTCTCTCTCTCTCTCTCTCTCTCTCTCTCTCTCTCTCTCTCTCTCTCTCTCTCTCTCCACACATTTACACACACTCAGAGAAATAAATAAACTTTTAAGGAAAAAACAGTTTCTTTTTTTTGGTAACACACACCTACACACATACGGAGAAAGATATAAAGGAGAAAGAATTGCTTTTCTTTTTTTTTATGGGTTTTAGTTTTAAAAATTGAGGATACAATGTACACATAGATTACCAAAGTGGCCCATGACCACTTGCTTGGCCGGACCACGCAAAAAAATAAAAAAATAAAGAATTTCGATGTGACCTTGAGACAAATATTTTTTCACTCAGGCTTTATTTTTGTATATAAGTTTTGTTCTTTTCTTTTTTGTAGGGCTCTTCCTTGGCCTTTCACCGGCGGGGATCCAGGTGACCCGGTTCACTCGGTCGGTGACCCGGGTGCATACATGGTATTTCTAAGACATCTCGTTTCATGCGAAACAATCATCACTCTCATATAGTTGTATGTGTGATTGAGTAAACGAATTTGCATGGGAATTAGAAGAGTGTGGTCACAATACATACACCCTCAAATTTTGATCCAATACATTCGCGATATTTTGTTTTTCTTTTTCTTATATTCTCCTATTTTTTCTATTTTTTTTCAAACAAAGAATTATATTACTCACCAACAAACACAAAAAAAATCCTATAATTTAATAATCATTCGAGCATGGTAACCGACATTCGGTCGGGGCCGAACGGCCAAACCCGAACACCCAAACGTTCAGGCCCCCTTAGACGTGTTTGGCCGTTCGGGCCGAACGCAGACCCAAAAAAACTAAAAATAAATAACATGAACAAAATTTATGTTATGCATAACAATAAACTGAACAATAGTTGCCCAACATTACATACAAATTGTTTACCAAAAAAAAAATAATAATAAAAATAATAATAAAAATAATAATAAGAAAAAAAAAAAAGCAAAAAAAGAATTAGAATCAGTGTGTGGGCGGACACATTTTAAACACTGTCATCTTCAGTTTTTTTTTTTTTTTTTTTTGGCTCACTCAAATGCCCTGAAAAGTTATAGACTGCGTAGCACCGTGTTTTTGCGTTCAGAGGTGAACCCGAATATGTTCTCCCGAGCGCGAATATGTTCGCCCGAGCGCCTAAAACCCTCCGAACGCGAATATAAAAAACATTTATTAAAAAAAATAAAAGTGTCATAAAAATTATTGAAAAACTATATGTCATGTAAAACAACAATACAAGCAAGTTTTGCCTTGAAGTCATGTCCAACTTCTTAGCCAAACGTGAGTTAAAAACTTAAAAAAAAAAATATTTGTTTTTTTACGAAAAAAAATATGTTCGTCCGAACACGTTCGCGAGTTATTCGCTCAAACGAGCAAACACGTTCGCGAGCTATTCGCTCAAACGTGCGAACTAGTTCGCACGCACATGGAGGGGGGCGAACACGTTCGCCATGCTACACAGGTTATAGATATGTATTTCACATGATACAAAACATAATAAAAAATAATAATAATAAAAAGTTTAAGCCCTGAAATAAAGTGAAAAAAAAAAGTGAAAAGAGAAAAAAAAATAGTGAGCGAACGAGCACGTTTTGACACCGCTATTTTTGACAATTTTTCATTTTTGTTTGGATTATCAAAATGCCTTCAAAATTTATAGGCACATACCGCACATCATAAAGAACTCAAAAAAAAGATGCAAAAACAAATAGTAATGTTTTGGTCCCGAAATAATTTTGGTGGGGGCCGAATCCCTTTCAGTTTGGACCTCGATCGCCCGAACGTATAAAGGTCAGTCAGGGGCCTCCGTACGTATGGGCTGGTAACATTGCACTCCATAATAAAACTGCATTTTAAAATTAAAATTTTCATTCCACCTAAAAAAAATATCATTTCACTTTGAAAGTTTTCCATATTAGTTAAAAAATGGAAAGGGGGGTATCCCTTCTTGTTTGAATTGTATGCTATTGATGAAATAAAAGTTTGAGTTCATGAAATAGTTTAATTGGTTTGTTATCCTATGTAATGATTTCCGTTCATAAATATGTTAATTTAATATGAATTAGAAGATATTGACTGTAGGAGAATGAAAGTTCAATTACAATATTTCATAAACTCGTGAAGAATTTCATTTCATCTCCTACAAATAGTTATAGTTGGAAGGGAAAACTCATTTTTAGACGAAAAATTATCAAATTAAACTGAAAATTTTAGAGTTGGACGAACATTGGAATGATCATTCTTAAATATATTTTTTCTTTTCTAAAAGGAATTTTTTTTCATCTTTTATTTTTATAAAATGGGGTCGTGGGTCCCCACATTCTACTCGGAAAGAAGACAATGAAGTAGTGAGAGCATTACCCATCCTAGCTTAAACCACTAGTACAATCAGTACTTCCTAAAGTCGTGCTCGTTAACAAGCCACGATTTTAGGAAACGTCTGGACCACTACAGAAGCACCCAAATTCATCCAACTAGAAACGTTTTTACTCTATTTTTTTCCACGGTCGATAGATGGGCCAAGTACGGGCGGTTTAGACCGTCTCTTGTATGAACCAAGGGACCTCTGAAGACCTCACAGCTAAGTAGCTGTCAGAAATGAGTGGCCACCTGGTCTCCCTCGATCCTCTGCCCCACCCACAAGAGGTTGGAATAAACTATTTATCATTTCTCAGAGAAGGCACACCATTCCAACTTTGTAGACCATTTGGCTAGTAACTCCTCCCTTGCTGCACTGGGCGAAACCACTTGCTTTTTCAACAACGAGAACTCTGCGAAAATTTATAGTCTAATTGCCTTCCTACTAAATTGAGATAAACAACCTTCTATGGAAAATGTCTTCTCCATGAATCTCCTAACCCTTCAAGTTCTTGCCATCCACACAATCCAAAAAATTCTCAATCTAAAGTTTTCTGCAATCTGTTTTTTAGACTTGCAGGCAGAAGTGGAAAAACATTTTTTTTTTTTTAACGCATGTGAGAGGCCTATTCGTGGAGGTGATAAGAGCAACCACCACAAATAGGACCTGGATAGAAGATGGCTCCAATCTATTGTTGGGGAAATGCACCCGCTGGAAATGGGCTCCGACGTCCAAATTACAGATCAGAAGCCAATTATGAGCAGTTATTAATGATGAGTAGCATTGATTGTGCTCTTACAAAGGGATGATTAACAGCCCATCAAGACCCTACTAGGATGGGTGCACGACCAAGTCGCAGCCCCTGAACCACTGAGAGTGGGGCTCCTCCCCTCCCCAACCACGTAGAGCAACTCAAACACGTCTGTGAGAAGGGAAAACACCCCCCTAGAGACAGATCATAACGAGTCAGATCAACCCAAGTCTAACTAGATCAGGTGAAAATGGATCAGATCAAAACAAATCATCGAATCAAGACGCAAAGTTCCGGTCAATGCGTACACGCAAATTTCCCACAACAGGTTTTTTTCAACAACACGTCGACGATTAATTTTCATTCACACACAAGTATCAATTCATGCGACTATGATGTCCATAGACTTATCATTCCACGTTTAGTATCCGCTTACAACCAAATTACTAGGAAGCACAAATTTTTGCTCTCTAAAGGCGGTCACCATGACGAAAGGGAACAACCATTTCACCATTTCATGAAGGAGGAGGAGGAGGAGGAGGAGGAGGAGGAGGGGGCGACTCATCTATGCCAAACAATGACAGATCTGAGGGATTTGGGGACGTAATTACAACAACCATATTGTCGGGTATGATGTCATCTATGGTCCAAAGAAGATCTACTGGAGGCGAGGGCTGGGAATTGTCGTCAATCAACCCACCACCATGGTGGTCGATGAGCTCTTGCGATTCGCTCTTCCATAAATAACTCAGCCCGATGGCAGAAAACTAAATAATTACGACGACGAAAATAAACGTGAAGGCAACAGTGAATAATCCCTCTCCTCCTTCGCCAGCTCGTTTTCTACTACTGCTTGTTGCCGCTTGAGCTTTTGTCGAAGTAGTTGGATTTGTCTGGTCATTGTAACTTACCCATCCACCATTGGGAAACCGGGAGGGTGTCAGCTGGCAGCTTACGTCATGTCACCCTCTTGGCAATTGTAAAGGGATGCGTAATAACTGCACTTACTGAAATTCCGATAAGTTAATCTTATTTCCAACTCAAACTGCGCAGAGGAGTTCCTTGGTAGTGATGTCGATGAAGATAAAAATGTAGATGAGGATGAAGATGGGGATGAGGACGCGGATGATGATGAGGATGAGGAAGCGGATAAGGAGATTGGAGGATTGTTGCTTAGGCTGTCGTGGTCACAGAAGATGCTCCTTGGGAGCCAATTTTCCTTGTTGTTGCAAAATTCACTCCCTTTTCCAAGCTGAAAGGTTCCAGAAGTAAATATTCGTTCACGAATGTCACTATTTCCAGAGAACGATGAGTTGTTATTTCTCCTTGCAATCATGCAGTTTGCTTGTATCGTCGTGTTGCATAGATCAGGCCAAAACATTGCACATACGATCCACGAGGAATTGAAGTGAGTTAGGCGGAATCCGCTGCCAAGTCTGGAAACCATCAAGATTAGGAGAAAAATAAGGATACTCTTGAAGGTCCAGGTAATCTTGCCACGTGGCGCTGCTGGATTGCGTGCCGACAGAAATGTGGACAATCACGATTGCAGCTATGTCTTATCGAGGAATAGGTGGTACTGAGCGCTTTCCCTCCGCTTAGTATTCCTTCTCGTATATCGTCTCCACCTTCTTCTCTTCCTCCTGCTCCTGCTCCTCCTCCTTCTCCTTCTCCATTTTTGCCAAATGTTGCCGACATCAGACAAATTGAATGTTGTTGCATATTAAACCCGAGGCGTTCCCCAATTTGCAATGAGTTATGTTCCTCCTCCTCCTCCTCCTTCTGCATGTCCTGTTCTTTTCGTTCCTTCTCAACTTGGTCCTCCTCCTCCTCCTCCTCCTCCTCCTGTTGCTGTTGCTGCTGCAACTCCTGTTTCTTCCATTCCTCCTCAGCTTTATCGTCCTCTTCCCCCTCGTCCTCCTTTTCCTCTTGTTGTTGTTGCTGCCGCTGCCGTCGTGGGTGGTCCTCTGCCAGCTGGTCCATCGTCTCATCGCTCGGTCCATGTGCTTCGACCATGTACCGTGCTTGCAGCCGCTGTCCTCTTTTGTCTCTCTCTCTCTCTCTCTCTCTCTTTCTCTCTCTCTCTCTCTCTCTCTCTCTCTCTCTCTCTCTCTCGTTCCCCTCCGAGACCCTCTTATCTGTGCATCTGTGGTGACTCGTCAGGTTCAGGATATCTCTTCCTCTCCCAACGATCACCCTGTCCTTATGATTTCTCCCTGCACCCTCGTCCCAGTGTATTTGTGTCTAAGTTATAGTGCACCTCTGATTCGCGTGCATGCGTGTGTATCTTGTCATGAGCGTTGTACACAACTCCAAAGAAAAAGCATGACTGGGCCAGACTGTTTCAGCGGACTTTCACCGACCCATCACTGCCGAGGATGCATTTGACCAATAGATAAAGACTCACCACATCACCTAGAGTTAATGACACCCTTTTAAGCGAGAAAAGGGGTCAATTTTACTCACAGCAACCCTGAAATCCAAGCGTATTCGGATGTGTGTGTGTGTGTGTGTGTGTGTGTGTGTGTGTGTGTGTGTGTGTGTGTGTGTGTGTGTGTGT